TCTCTCTCTCTCTCTCTCCCTCTCTCTCTCTCCCAACTCCCCCACCACTTTTTTTTTGCTTTTCGTTGTCATAATATCACACGGAGTTTCTTTTCTCGTTAGCCTTTGCTAAAAACGGCGCAGTGGCGTCGTTACAGATTTCGCTTATTCAATATTTCGGTGGAACTGTTGCCAACTAGCGCCAATACGGCAAGTCAAGAGAAAACTGTTGGGACAATATTGATCTCCGGGTGAAGTTGACAGTCCACAGAACTGAGAGGACGACAGAAGGCGCCAGCCACATCAGTGATTGGCAGCTGCCGCTGCTGTGAGGTCCTACCCCCCCCTCTCCTCTCACCTCTCTCTCTCTCTCTCTCTCTCTCTCTCTCTCTCTCTCTTTCTCTCTCTCTCTCTCTCTCCCCCCCCTCTCTCTCAAGACCTATACGCCTTATGAAACTTTGGTTTTTGTCTTGCCTTTTTTCTTGTTATAATATTATTACGGTGTGCTTCTCTCCAGTTCGTATGACTGGTCGGATGGCGCAACTGGCAGGTCTTACTCTTTTCTTTTTCACCGTTGCGTTGCTATTGTTTTTTTTATTCTTGCTTCTTTTTTTTTTTTTTTTGAAGAACAAATACAATATGACAAAATTCGACTCTGGCTGAGGTAACGTGTCCTTCAAGCTCCCCCATATGAAGAAGAAGAAGAAGAAGAAGAAGAAGAAGAAGAAGAAGAAGAAGAAGAAGAAGAAGAAGAAGAAGAAGAGCAAAGGCAGAAGAGGAGGAGAAAAAGACGAAGAGGAGAGGGAAAAAAAGAGAACAATAGAAGGAAAGAAGAAGAAGAAAAAGAAGAAGAAGAAGAAGAAGAAGAAGAAGAAGAAGAAGAAGAAGAAGAAGGAGAGAAAAGGCAGAAGAGGAGGAGAAAACAAAAAGAAGAGGAGATAAGGGGAAAAAAAGAGAAAAATAGAAGGAAATAGAGAGAAGAAAAAGAAGAAGAAGAAAAAGAAAAAGAAGATCAATGAGCCGTCTGTCTTTTTTCCTAGTTCTGTGATATCGTTCAGCCGCATACCGAATCTGTTCCGTCCTGTCAAGTCGTCCTGTGTCCGGCCGAGGGTTTCAACTTTTGCCTGCCGATGTGTTCGTTTCCTTGGCCTTTATAGTAGTAGTATTAGTTCCCTGTTTGGATTGTCTGAAGTCCAAGAATCGTTCAGTCAGTATTTTTGTCACGTCTCGTGCAGTTTCAACTTGTGGTAGTCTCCTGGGTCTAAATTTAGCAATTATGCTCATGTGCTGTTTGCATTAATGCAGGGGGAGATAACATGGGGTTTGAATTCGAGATTTGCGCTGACAATATTATTGTTGCGCCACCTTGTTTTGACACCCTGCCCCCCCGTCTCATTCTCCTC